CAAAATGTAAATAAAATGCTAACCAGTATTGACAACAAAAATTGAAGTCCAAACCACAGAATATGGCTTGGGGTTAATATTAAACCAATAAGTAAATGAAGGAATGGAATGTTTGAAAAATAATGTAATAAATATATGTTTACCATCCACCCAAACATCAGAACAAATTTAAACAATGATAGTCCAGGATAAAAGACTAATTAGTTGCTTACCTAGTAATGCCTAGTTTGCCAGTTGAAGTCCCGCTATTAGCATTGCCTACTGTAGTCTGTTTACTTTGGGCTAGACAATATGTCATTATTGATGTGTGTTTGAATAGATGCATATTTGCAGTCAGCCACACTTCCATCATTCTGCCCTGGGGAAGCTGTGACCTTGTTTAAGAATACAGCAGATTCCCAAGTAACATTGTCTAATGAGTTTTTATTATGTTACTACTTACAAGAGTTCTTTCCACACTTAGATCCAATATATACTTGGTTCATTTCTGTTCTGTGAATGTAACTTGTTTAGAATCAGTGCTTCAAATGAATATCTAGTTTTGATCCAGATTAGTATCTGATGTTTGATACTTTTGACAACCCTAGTACTTATAAGGTCTTCAAGTCTACATAAACCAGTGTTTGTAGGTTCTTTTGTATTTGTGTGGCTCTTGTGTGAAAGCTATAATTAAACAGGATTGAGCCTTGAGGGACTGTTGTTATTCATTCAAGTTCAGAAGCACTCAATGGAAGAGTGGAATCAGGAGACAGACTGATTTTGACCCTGATAATGTGAAATCATGGCAGCGGTTTCTTCCTGTCCTCACAGCGTACATATGCGCTTTGATATGCCCAGCAATTTAAGATTTAAGACAGAGTTTAGCTCCTATAATATGCTCTATTAAAGTTGTCTGTCCTAAGGGGCCATCAGTCAATGCTGAATATAGGCTTATTTCAAAAACAGTGGATTTACTCTGAGGTTAGAGCTATTAAGTAATTTCATAGCTTTAACCATCAATGAATGTTTTGTGCTTCTCAAAAGGTGAACCAAACATCACCTCAGGATATTCAAAGTTTGAGCCGTACTATAGTTCTTTTAGACAGGTTTTTAAGAAGGTGGAAAAGAGAGGATCATTCACTCTTTACATAGCTGGAGGTGGGCAGATTAGTGAAATCATTCATGTTATGAATATTGTTTTGAAGATATGCACAATTTGAAATTCAAATTTGGAAATCAAGTTAATTGTGTATAATAAAATGCTATAAAAAAGAGTGGATTAAAGATGGCATTAAACATATTTAAGATCATTTCAGTTGGATAAAATCGTTATTGGGATAAAAAAATAAAAATAAACATTTGTCAATATCGCCCACCCACTTTTGCACAAATGGCATTCTCGATCTTCATCACACATTTACTCACACAACACATTTATGTTTGAGAAAAACAAATGCAATGCCTTGCCCAAGGAAACAACCACAGTATACAATGGTCTGAGCTGGGATCGTACCACCAATCAGGTTGCAAAAGTTGCACTTATGCTTAAATGACCTCTCCACTGAGTCAGAAAATAAAACTAAACCAACTAATCTTTTTAATCAGAATCAGTAAATGTTAATAAATCCATCTACCTCAACCCCCATTGTACCTATAATCCCTCTTTTTTTCTTAATATTTGCCTGTCTCACTGTACTATGTGGTAATTAGCAGTCAAACCATCTCAGTCAGAATGCTGTGAATAACAGTAATTACAGGTGTGGATGTGTTTACATTTGCTACACTGTGTGATTGTGAGGTACATTTTTGAGCTAACACTGTTTTGGGTTTGTCCATGACTCTGAGCTATAAACACGGCAATGGGACTAAAGTATAGTTTTTTTTTTAAAGGAAGGGGCATTAGACAAATATGAAAAGTGGTTTACATTTCTCCATGGCATGCAAACCAAGGAGCCAACCAAACTGTAACAATTTGACATTTATGGTTAACGAAAAAACACAATTATGCAGCTTGGTACAAAATTAGATTATGCTGTATTGATTTTTACTAGTGGCAATAAAATGGTGTGGTTATACAGAATTTGAGCAGAAATAATTGGAAATAAAAAAAACAAAGAACATAGATATAACAACATGCTTTTTAGATTATTCTGTTTTCCAAAACAAAATGTTCTGTTCCTCAGTAACAAATGTGTAAATATGTGTTTTTTAAACACTTGAACCGTGAATGTTGAGTACAGTTTAATTTATTATGTTAATTTAATTGCTCATTATATTTCTAAATAACAGTGACAATGCTTCATCAGTTTTAGTGGGAGTCTTAAAGGTCCTATATTACACAAAATTGCCTCTAGTGATCTTTTAGTCATGTTAGAATGTTACCTCCTCATAAACATACCTGGGTTTGCGTTTTGTTTCACTCACACATGCCTGAGTAATCATTTATTATTAATATGTCTACATCTCCAAAGCTCAAAATACTCAGTTCCACATCATGATGCCATGAAGCAATAATGTGCAAGTTAATAGCTACCATTTACCCTTTTTTTTAAGTAGCAATTGGCAATACCATGGCTGAAATCATCCAAATTAATCTTGTGAAGGTGTATGGAGTTTAAAAGCACAGTGGAGCATGTCCTGTATTTCCACATGAAATCACGAGGTGGAACAGAATGTTTTCTGTTTGAGAAAAGAAGCCTAAATACACAGGATCCATGTGTGTCCATGTGTGAATGAAACAAAACACAACTCTGGATATTTTTTGATGAGGAAACACTATTAAAGCATATATCAGAAAACAGTATAATATGTTCCCATCAAGAGTAGTTTTATAAGCAGTAGCATTATTTAGTTGCAATAGTTTAGTTGTCATCTTGTATTTGAGTTTCTCAACACAAATATGTATTTCCAGTCACATTTTGTTCTGGTTATTGATGTACTATTTATACAAGTTTTATACAATTTACGTCGCTTAGAATGAGGAGCTAAGCCAGTGCTTTTCCTTCCAATTACAATGACGACATTATTTACACTCTGGGCCTTCACTCCTGCTTTGGTCAGGGTAAACACAATCACAGCTAACAGCCTGCACTACCTCAGTGAAGCTGACCCGATTTACATGTGGTTACACTCACTTCAAAGTTAGGTTGTCCTATATTATATTGACTCTGTGAGCTTTAAGCCATGTTATAATGTTATAACCTCCTCAAAGCATACCTGGAGTTGTGTTTGTTTCATTCACACATGTTTGAGTAATCTTTTATTATTAGTTTGTCTACATCTACAAAGCTCTGTATGATATCATGAAGTAGTTTTCAAGTTAACAGCTACTTCTTACCTTTTTGTTCAGTAGATTCTAGAGAAGGTGTATGGGTTTTAAAAGGACAGTGGAGCACTTCCTCTACAGTATTACCATATAACATCACAAGGTGGAAAGAAGGGTTTCCTGTTTGAGAGAAGAACACAGCCTAAATATGCAGGGTTTGTGTTAAACATGTGTGAATGAAAGGCATGTTTTTCATGAGGAAACAACAATGTATGATAGATCAGAAAATTGTGTAATATGGGCCCTTAAAACTTAAATGCACAGTGATTCCACTATATCCATTGAAAAGTCATCTTACAGCTTGCGAACTATAAAAATCTCTACTTGACACACGCCTTTATAATTGTGAGCTGCCAAGAATTTTATAGCTTTACACTCTTTCAGATTTCTTGCCAGAGTTGTTAAGGTGCTATTTTGGAGCAGGACAGTGAATATTTCTGGATGGTTGCTAAAGCAAACAAACTACATTTATACTTTATAATTGTTTACCCAACAACCACTACAATAATCCGCTGTAGAGACAAGATCTTTAAGACTTCTGAAACTTTGAGCGAAAATAAAACACCCAACCAAGTTCTGCCATATTAATAAGGTGGATATTGCTACTTTTCTCAAGTTGACAAATAGATAGATAATAAATCATTGAAGACTGCCATTATTGCTACTACAAATTTACTTCTATGATTCCCTGCTGATGGTGCCAACCATGGGTTTCAGAGAGATGGAAAATTTGTGCCGTTGCCATAGCAATGAACAATTAAAAGTTTTTATATATATATATATATATATATATATATATATATATATATATATATATATATATATATATAATTTTAATGGTAAAAGGTTGTCAGAATAGTGCTTATAGTGCATTAAGATGCCTAAATATGTTCTATAGTACTACTAGTATAATTGCTATTTCAACCCACTCCTCCACTACCACTACAACTACAACTTCTACAGCAACTTTTAATACTACAATTCCTACCAGTATGAAATTCCTCCTACCAGTATGCATTATAATATTACTAATATAACTAATAATATTTCATTTAATTTCTGCTATTATTAGAGCTGCTGATTCCCACTGCAACTACTATAGCTACTTAGTTTACCAGAAATACTGCTGCTACTACTACTTCTTCTACTACTGCACTTTTTCCCCTATTACAGAATTGCAAGTATTGCTTAACTATTTAGTATTTACTCAATTACACATAAAGATACATGTAAAATTACTTATATAGTATATGCAATTTATAAAAATACATGACTCCTCTTTTTGTAATAGTAAAAGTCATTGCTTTCCGTCTTTGACAGACTGACATAGTTTGGCCTGAGTGCTCCTTCAGACAGCCATAACAAAGACATTATAATTAAACGTTATTAGGTGCTGGTATCTGCACACATTATTGAGACAGAGGTTAGCCAGCGGTGCTTTCACAGGTATGAGCTAGCTCCACAGTCCGCCCCGCTGCCTATTACAGCTTTATAGTGGATGACGTGATATTTAACGGGGCAGTGAACGCATCAGGGCCACACACGCTCAGAGCTGCAGCACTACTGTTGGCAGGAATGCATCCCTATCCGCAAATGGGATGTTTCGTAATTTTAAATTGTTGGAAAGATTGAAGTGCAAATTATTCACAGTGGGAGCGAATGAATGAATAACTCTTTGTTTTGTATGTGTTCAAAGGAAGAAGACGCCACAATGTCAGTGAGGAGGGACCGGAAAAAGTCTGTCTTCCTTTCATCTTTATTGGTAAGTATTGTTAATTACTTTCTGTACTATTCATATTCCCACTACTATAATTGCTACTGCTACTACGACCACTACTAACATTTTGTTGCTACTACTTCTACTAATTCCACTAGTAATACAACAATTACTGTAATTTCCACTATTTGTACTGCTGCTACTGCAAAGTGACCATTGTTGCATGCTACAGGCTATAGTACTTATATAGTAATCTACAACACTCATTATTGCTATTACTACCACCATACCTACAACCAGTACTTCTACAACAACTGGTATACCAACGCAAATACTTATTAATGACTACTAGTTTTACTACAAGCCACTACTGGCCCTTCATTGAGGTCAGCCATTGTTGTTCCTATTATAATCATTACTGTACATTTTATCTTCACCCAGAAACTCTTAATAGCTCCATAATGCGCACTGAACCACATTTATCTTAGTTTTTGGCATTGGATCATCCAGACTTTAGCAAGTAAGTGCCAGCAGCTTGCACAAATTTGGCTGCGCTTGTACCAATTAGTCAGCCATTGAGTTTTGTTTTTTTGTTTTTTTTACATACCGGTAGGTAATCTATGTATAAAATCTCACAGAGAATCTCGAGATCCTGTGTATGTTTTGATGTTGAAACCCTATTGGCACTGTTCCCACTTCAGCCCAGCCTCTTTCTGCTTTCTCCTCATCAGTCACCATGCACACATGCAGGCCGACACATGAGCTGTAAGCACACAAATACACACTAACACAAGTAAATTTATTGGCAGAGCGGTTGGATATGCAAATGATCAAGTAGTGTTGGTTCAGTACAAGATTTCTAATTCAATTTTGATTATAAGCAATGTATTGGATTGAACTGTAGTAATGTAATTGTAATGCCATGCTTCTAGTACCTCTTTTTCTTCTAGTACTACTATTACATGTTAATAATAAAACATAACAGTTAGTTAGTATAGCACTTTTCATGACACTCAAAGATGCTTCACATAATTGAAGACAGACTTAGGACTTACGTTATTAGTTAAGCTGTTCAGAATACTAATTTGTTTTGGTAAATAACAAGACAGTGAAATGTTTGGATTCTGAATGCACATTGTTAAACTATTTGCCTCAAGTGCTTGTGTATAAGGTTAAAGAGAGTTTGTTATGATCTGGCTGAGCACATTTGCATATATTTACTCAAACTGTGAGCGCTATTATGAGAAGTTTAAATGAATACAAAACAGTGGGATGATATTCAACAGGGGGGGGTAAAGATGGAGATAGTTAGACACACTCTCATTTTCGTTCCTATTATTGTGGTCTCCAAATAGTTCTTTAAACGATTTTGGTTGGGTACACAAACCGCCGGCTGTTATTACTGTGGTCAATGCCACACATGTGATGTATGAACAAATAAACAATATATGATATACAATATTCAAATGGTAAAAATGCATTTTACAACTTTAACCACTATGATTTCAGTTTTTTTTATTGTCAGTAATTTCAACTGCTATAACTCTTACTTCTAATATAAACTACTGCTAGTGATGCATAACATACAGATACCACAAATGAAGAATAATAATTCATTTCAGGGTTAGAATAGCACCAAACCAGGTACGTTTACTGTTGCCACAGCTGCCCTAGGGTAGACTGACAGAAAGTGATGCTGCTAGTTAATCCCCCATTCATACATCGCATTCATACATCTGGGTGTTTTGCTTAAGGACATAATTCAGCTGTGTGCAGTAGACTACTGTAGACTCACTGCTGCCAGTGGTCTCCCATCCAAGTACTAACCAGGCCCAACCCTAACTATCTAGATCACAGGTGTCAAACATAAGGCCCGGGGGCCAGATCCGGCCCTCCAAGACCTTTAATCTGGCCCTCGGCTGATTTTCTACTAAAATATTTATATTACATTTTCTATTAAAATATTGGTAATTTTCTGCACCACTTAGCATACCTGCGTCTCCAGAGCCTCTGTGCGTGGCCCCTCCCTACAGAGCTGCACAAATGAAGACTTGCCTCTTTCCAAACGCTCTTAAAGGATGATTGTTTTGACTGTAGATCGTGACACCCTCATCAGCAAAATGACAAAAATGAGAAAAGTGGACGCCGAGTGCAGGATTTTCCAAGAAAAATGGACTTGTTCCAATTTGCATACAAGTTAATGTTAAAACATTGTGTTGAAATTGCATGCAAAGAGTTCATCAATTAAAAAAAGATTTGTGTAATAGATTTGTGTTTCTCTGCACAAATATTTGAACTTATTGCTATTTTTGGGGTATATATGCTATGAGTTTTCTGATCCGGCCCCTTTGGGATCAAAGTAGGTTCAATATGGCCCCCAGACCAAAATGAGTTTGACACCCCTGACCTAGATTAATTAGACAATTCAATTTAGGCCTATTTTTAACTTACTGCTCCCTTCTTTTATCATGAGGTTTGCTTATAGCATCGCTACAGCTACTGTTATCAGCTATTTTCAACCTGGAAAGTCAACAAAGAAACTGTCATACTTTTCTGATAAATATCAATAATGTTTTGTGCTGTGACTTTGATAATCGCCATCCTCATAAACCTATAGGGTTCACCTCATTTACCTCGTCCAGCCTTCATCACCTGACCCCCATCTCTCTCCAGGTGTGTTGTATGTTTGCCAGTGCAGAGTACTCCAGCTGCGGAGAATATGAGTTTTTCAACCAGACCAGTAACAGCTGCCAGGCGTGTCCACAGTGCCAGCCAGGACAAGAGCCGCATATGGTGAGTAGGAATGTCAAGATTATTCTGTTAATCAAAATGTGTGATTACTCAGAACACAAAATTATCATATTATTAAAAAAATCTGAAATAAAAAATTACCAGAATTATCAAAATTGTGACAAATTCAATTAATTTAAGTACAGTCTATAATAAAAGGTAGAGTGCTTTTTAAAAGTTTGATTTCACAAAGCTGGTTATATACTAATGGAATGGTGATTAGAAAAAAGGAAGGATTTCACCGATGTTTTGTCTTGGCGTCCATAATATAATTGTGAATAATAGTGATGTTTGATTTCATAATAATCATAACATTACCATAGCATGCATAGCATGTCCCTAGTTGTGAGATACACAAACTGGCAATCAGAAAACTTACATAGTGGACCTTTAACATTTTATTAGAAGATAAGGGTCTTATTTGTTCATAAATTAGAGACAAGACCAGTGCATTGGTGTTATGATTCTACATTCAAAATGTATATATGTAATTCAAAATTTATATATGTGAACATTAAAAACATCTGACCCATCCCTGGACCTCACACAGAGCACATGCATTTCTGCAAAGTGAACTGTGTCTAAATCCCCAATGCACAATTTCTTCTGCTTTATTGCGCTCATTGACTTAGGAGTGAAGGTATGCATTATAGCACATTACAGTGCACCGCAGCAGTAGTCCCAGTCAGTCTGTCTGCCGTCAGCCAAAGAAAACAGAAACGCTTCAGTGGACACCCTGGGGTGCCACACCCGCCCCACACAGACACGCACCAAAATGAATTATTATAGCCCGTGATTTGAGTTTATGTTTTTGTAGACAAGTACAAACATTCTTGCATCTTTACTAGACACTGTGAGATTGGTCTTAGAGAGTGTCGCTGAGTTAGTTTAAGGTCATGCAACTCTACCTTTGATTGATTTTTTTTATTTTTGTTCATGCATGTTCAGATCTAACTTGGTGGTAGATAGTCAAGCACTACTAATATAACCTAATTTGCCTGTGTCCAAAAATTAAGATGGAGAAATTTTAATTCATTTAACAAATCCAAGCTGGGATCCCATGTTGCAGTGCAGAAGAAATAAAATGTATCATTATTAAAATGAATACTGAAACATCTCTAAAGTTCTGATAACTAAACCAAACCAATTTACAGATAAACTAACTTTCTTCTTTATATAAGTTTTTTTTTTTCAATTTCTTCATGATATTTTCTTTGACGACTGATCTTTACAACTCTATTCTATTCAAAGTCCATCTCTGTGCTTGTCATAACACCAGTACATGTATTTACGAGCTGCGCAGACATGATGAAAGCCAATTTATCAATGGGACGAGGGGAGTCTTCTGCACTTGCCTGATCCATTCATATGAATGGGTCTGTGCCCACACACACACATCATGACATTGAGTGCATTGTGACAGAGATACACAGGGCCATCTTGAGTCCAGATTGGCAACAGCTGGCTTTGTGTTCTGCTGGTAGTCACGGTAAACATTAAATACACACAACCATTATGCACACATGTAAAAAGTGACACAGCATATGGTGAGGGGTAATGAGTATATAGGCTTTATATGTATGGGCCATTGATGTGCTGAGCCAAAAGTCATATAAAACATTCCTGTTACAGAGAGAATGTTTATGGACAAATATGTTAGCCAAAGATCTGGCTGATCATTAAACATGTATCTTAAGTGAAGGATAGCGATAGTTTAGCAGAGTTAGTAATTAAAACTGCTGAAAAGTGAGTACTGAGAAAAAATGCTCTTTGTGACAGTGAATGGTTGTCCCTGTGTCATTTCTGAAGCTATCTGGTCACTTTTCAGGGTTTCCCTATCTGAGGATAAATTACGGTGGCAGACTTCAGAAATGTATCACCTTATAGATCAATGAAATTATTACTGACTAAGTAATAATTATTATTAGAACACTTAAAGTCACTGTCATTTAGTGTAGACTTGAGTCATCCTACATCTCTACTGCCAATAACCTGAAGATTATTTTATTAAAATAAAATTACTTTCTAAATATACCTGGCAGCATCTAGATTAGCGCAATCATGTACAATTTAACAGCTGTTTCAATATTTAACAACTGTTCCTGTTACACGTATTACTATTTCTTTGGTTTGAGCTTCCTTATTCTTAAGCCGAAGTGACAAGATCTCCTGATAGCTAAAACCATTTTTGTATCAAAACATTCAAAGCAAAGCATACAGAGGAATATTATATTTCTTTGGGAGTCACTGCACCGTGGCCCAAAGTGGTGCAGATTGTAGCATAGGCTTGTTTTAATAGACAGATGAAAGCAGAAAAGAAATGCAAGATGAAAGAACATATTTGTGGGTGCCTGAGCGGGTATTTAACACACTGTGGGGACCGAATCTGTATACACTCTCAGTTCTTGGGGACCCGTCTCCCTTATGGGGATAAAAAACAAAACAAAACAAAAAAAAAATTCAAAAAATTCAAATTCTCTTATTAGATCATCAACCTGGTTTAAATATACAATATAGGGTCAAATTTGTTAGGTTTTGGGTTTTGGTTGAAGTAACTAATTACGTAACTAAGGCAAGGTTAAAATCGGTCACCAAAAAATTAATGAAAGTCAGTATAATGTTCCTAAGAAGTAAGCAAACCCAATATGTGTGTATGTGTGTTTGTCAGGAGATCAATGCTTATACAAAATGATTAGTTGATCATTGTAAACACTAGCAGACACTCATCACATATGTATCTCTGTTACCAATCACATTTTTAATTTTCCAAAATGCTAACTCAACATTGACTGAGGATGGCAGAAGACCAAAGGCCTCTTGTGTGGGATTTGTTTCGACCTATTAGTCATAAACAGTTCCTTTAATAGCTGATTATTGGTGTGTGAGTTATATTGTTATAATGGTGCTAATAAAGCTTCTGTTCTGGGTGTGTTTTGCAGACGTGTGGATACGGTGTAAAGGATGAGGACTTCACATGTGTGCCGTGTCCCCAGGGGAAATACTCCAAAGGGAAGTATGAGATCTGCAGACGCCACAAGGACTGTGACGCCCTCTACAGAGCGACTGTGCTCATAGCAGGCACCCCCGAGAGTGATGCAGAGTGTGGCCCCTGTTTGCCTGGGTAAGACTCAACAGATGTACTTTCACTTAATGAGTAACACTGGATTGCATATATTGATTTGACATATTTTTTTCATGGTGGAAGTGTCCTTTTTTATACCCTGACTTGGGACTGTCAAAAAGAGATTATGATCCTTTCTCAGACCAAACTATGGAAGAGGGAAATATATAGAATAATTGATAATACTGAATTTGTTTTTTCTAAATTAGAATATTGAATGTGTCATTAAAAATTGTGGTAAGTGAAGTGCTAGTTCTGTAGCTTTTGTGGTTCATTTTACAGTCCAGTAAAATGTTGTGTGAACTGAAACTCACATTTACTTACTATTAAAAAACATATTTTTGTCAATATCACTCAATCCTAAATCATTTACATACCATCACCATGATTTTAATATTCTGATTTGACTAGAAACTGTTATACTGTGTCTATGTGGTCCTTTCTGTCAACTTTGAGATGTTTTTATTCTTTAATAAATAATTCATATTGACTTTCCATTGACTTCAAGTGCTGAGCAAACACATTGACCTAAGATCGCTGGCAACAATTTAGTTTTCAACAAGTGAATCCTACTTAATGATATACTGTAATGTTTTTAAATCTGCAAACCTAATTTTATTAAACATTACCAGGCTGCTTAGAATGGGACCACCCTGTTCTTCAATTTCTCTCATGCTTTTGTCCTTTGTGCAGAGAATACACTTAATCCTTTTCTCCATATTACTGAGTCAACAGGGAACACCAAAATGTTCCCAGATCTTCTTGTCCTGTCTCATCTCCATCACACCTTCCCATGATGCATTGCTTCCTTTCTTTTATAAACCCTTTAATTTCTTCGTTGTCAGATGGAAATGTGCAACTGGTTATGCCTGAAAGATTGATGGTGTATTTATTGCAGAGGGAGGAAGTTTCTCAAATTAGTAGAATCTTTGGGAAGTCTTCATGTAGACATTGTTGAATGTTTTAAACCTTCTTTAATCTCAACCTCATTGTGTTTGGTTTTGATCTGTGGTTCATTCTGTATTGCACAAGTTTGTTATGTTCTGTTGTTAGAACCATTGTAACTAATAATGTTACCCTATGAAATATATGGGCAACACAGTACTTCAGTGATTAGCATTTATGACTCACAGCAAGAAGGTCCTAGGTTTGTATCCCAAGTCGATGTGGGCGATTATGAATGGACTTCACAATTTTTCTGTAGGCATGTCAAAGAATTACTATCAATTTATTGTTCAGTATATGAAAGCTGTATATTTCTGGGCTTAATATTTATCATGTGTACATTTTGGAGAGATTTGAGATATTTTGTTGCAATACAATAAGATTTGACCTGTGTTTGTTGGGTTAAATAACTAACTTCTATGGCTAATTATCTGTTCATTCTATTTGTTGCAGCTCAGGCCTTTTGAATAATACTGTCTATTTCCGGGATTATCCTGCATTATTGTTACTGTATCAATGACATAAAGTAGTTTTAATATGATTGTGTATCGCAGTACTCTATAGTTCTTCAAAATCTGTTAGCGTGACAAGCTTATTTATCTGTATCTTCATAGGTTTTCCCTGGGTGGTAATTGTCTGGTTAAATAAAGGTTAAATAAATAAGTATTACTGGCTTTATGCTGGTTCTATACAAATAAACTTGCTACATAATGACTACTTACTGTAAATAATAGTAGAAATTGTTATAGAAGCTCATGTATATTGATGACATTGAAATGTTACTTGGGTAAAAATAGTTTCTGAACATGGAGAAACAAGCATGATCCTTCAAAACATCACATTACAAGATGGCACAAATCTCAGATGTATTTTTCTTACATTTTCAAAATTCTTCATTTAATTAACCTACCTCGAGATCAGCTCAAACATGTTACAGTAGCGTTATACATATCTATAGCCCTCATTATATTGCCCACATAAATTATGACCATCAAAATGATTTAAAACCACTTAAAACCATTTAAAGACTCAACTCTGCTGCTCCCTGTTGCTCCCTGTACCACGCTCTGCTTTGTGCCTTAGGACAGTAATTATCTTGGAGTCAAACTTTTCACCCCACATGAGCGCCATCAGATCTGAACTCTGTATATATAGACATATGATCCCTCTCATCACATCATTTATACAGTTTCTGGTAGATTTAGATGGGTCCTTTCATCAATACATCAGGTTCAAGTTGTTACATCATAGTCATTACTGAATCTTAAAAAGCCGCATTACTGAATCTTATATCATGTTTAGTTTTATGGGATGGATAGAGTGAGTATCTAGTTGTCAAGATGGAAAACATTAAAATCACATAATGAAATATGAATACTCTGTTTACAGGTTATGGACTATGCTTCTTTTAGCTCCTTTGTTTTGGTGAACAGAATCTTACATGCAGTTAATATTCATATTTTGTTACATGTGCCCCTACCAGAAATTATTATTTGTTTATTTGGTCGGGACAGTGCTTGTTGATGTACACATACATGATGCTAATTTGAATTCATTGCTCCCACAAACACATGCTCATTCATTTAGGCAAGACTATTAACCACTGATAACCAATGAACCACTGTCATCTTCCAATTTACCCAATGTTTTATCTTTATATGAATCAAATGAGTAACTTTGAGGGCCTGCTTATTCTTTTTTTTTTTATTGTTTCCCAGGTATTACATGTTGGAGAATAGACCCCGAAACCTGTATGGGATGGTGTGTCACTCCTGCCAAAATGCACCAGCCAACACCAAAGAATGTAAGAGCAACTAATAGTACTAATCATCTATCATCTACTGTGAAATTAATGTAAATTGTAAATCCTCTTCCTCCTCATTTTATGTTTGTTGTTTATCGTCATACAGTTAAGAGTTTAAAAGCTCAAGTCCCGCTCAATTATAAGACATTAAAACATAAAAATAATCCTCTCTCTGAATCAAAGGAAACAGACTGCACTTCAAAACATGTTTCAGGTTTATGAAAATAATTGAAGGCTCAACATCAAGATATTTGTGCTTAGGAGTTTTCACCTTTATAGTGGGTATTTTCATAAAAGAAGATTACAACTTTATATTTGTACATTTTACTATATATGTTCACATTTATGAACCAAAATGAACAAACAATGCAGTGCAGTAATGCACAACTATGGATTTGTGGAAAAATATGAAATTGTAAAACAAGCATTAGATTTAGATTTACGATTTATGTTTTAATAATAGGATTATGTTCAAAGTTCACATTTTAAACATGTCCAGAAGAACTGACCTCAGATCTAAACCACAGTGTTAACACTTTTTATGCAGAATAAGACAGGATATTTTGTTTGCTAACTGTGTCCATTCGACTTGCCATTTCGATTAAATAGCGATTAATCTTGCAGCTCTAATGTGGTTATATGCACAGCTAAGTCCGTAATCCTTTTACTGTTATGAGGAGTGAGCATTTCTAATTTGGAGCCTCACCCTCATCTTTGGGCCTGAGGTAAAGGCTGTAACCAATCGCAGTTTATGGAGGATACATTTCAAAGCTATGTGTTTTTTAATACTACAGCCAGAATGGAAAAAAATGACGAAATGCATGTTCATTTCTCTATATTGCAGCACATTTTCATCAGCCCACCATTTTCCAAGTAATTTCAAGTACCAAAAACACATTGATCCAAAATAAACTTGTCAACATTATTTTTGTATTGGTTCTGACACAGCGTTAAGATTGATTTTACATATTTTGCCCCCTCAAGTGTAAGAGCAGCGTCCCGGATATGAACAGTGGTGTTATTGTGCCATATTTAATGAGTGTTTTGAAAGATGAAAACCACCAAAAAGAAGTCCAGGCCTGTAGAGACTGAGGCTGTGAATTTTAGATCCATAACTTTATATGTGCTTACCAACAAACTCCTACTTTTCAACACCGCTCTAATTGTTTCTGCTGGGCATGGAAATGAGTGACATTGGCAAGCAGTTTATTTGATAAGTGATGAGCAAACAACATGGAAACCTTACTTCATTGATAATTGTGAGATTAGAAGAAAATGTCTGTGTTCCCAATAAGTCTTTAATTTGTTTTTCATGTCCCTGTTGTTGCCCCAGGGAATCATTTTCACTGCTCATTGCTATTATCTATTACAGTCTATATCCAGTTTTGTGAAATCACAATGTAATGTTCTGATGTGACATTACATCAGCCAAATAAAACACTACTTTTTTTGGACTACAGATTTAACTGTTACTATGGCTTCTAATAGAGTATCAGTTGTCAATCTTATGATATTGTAACCTGAATAATCAGAATTATCAATTAACCAGATTATGAGGATGAGAGTCCTGTTTTGGTCTAATTATTGAGATATGTGACGTAGACGTAGTATTCACCTATGACTTAGGAGTTAACAAAAAAGAGTGTCTCCTTTTGAAGCTTAGACAGTGGACCATGGATTTGGACTCAATACTGAGGGCTTGAGAGTGACTTGAGAAATGGTGACTTGACTACAATAATAATTCATTTATTAATAAACATAAGACCAGTTAAAAATCTAACCCTCGTGATAAAAATCCTTTGCTTTTTTTTTATTCAAACAAAGCAAATGACAATGGTATACTCAGGATACACAGCAAAATAAAAAATATTTAAAATAAAGTCAAGCTTCATGATGAAACCACCACAGTATACTAATCAAATCCTCACCAAACAATATGTTGATAAGTATATATTTATGTGACCGAAATAAGTCAAAGTATCGCTAGTAGCTGGGAGTTCTGCTTGTAAGGGCTGTAGGCAGGCTGACACTCGCCATGTAATCTGTAAATTACCCTGGCTTCTGTGGCTCTGTTTGTGCGATAATTAAAACTGGAGTGGGTATGAGAAAGAGGTGATTAGCGTGTAGCTGCTTGTGTCTACACTACTTTTTGGCAGGCAGATGTAAGGGGCTTTGTCGGAATTACTGTTTTTAGAGCTGTCACAGTTTGATAAATTTTTGTCATTTGGAGTCTCTCCTATCACACACCCACGCACTTAATACAAAACGATAATTACCCAAAGAGATGGAGAGATTGTCCGCCACCGTTATTTCCTGTAAGTTTCAAAGCATTTTTGCATTCAGCTGTAAGTAAACAACTTCTCACATCAACCATGAGAAACGCTTTGATTTTCTGTTCTTAAAAAAATTGAAAAATCAGCCCAATGTAATTTTGCTCCTTGCTGTGATTGTTTGGACCTGTTTTCCCACATTTCCCTGCAGAATTATCATTTTGCCGCATGTTTTCAGCCTTGCAGTCATGATTAAGAGATTAGACCACAAGACGCTAAACAAGATTCCAGTTGGGGCACATATCCTGATCCCAAAAGTGTAAACACATACCCCGCTTGTTAATGTCTGCAGCCACAGGGCATATCAGAGTGTGATGGTACGAGGACCAAAGGGAAGCAACAGGGAGGAGTGTAAGACTTGTGAAAACTGTAACATTGATAAACAAACCACCTCAAGAGCATAAAATAATGAGCAAATGTTATTAAAACTGATTTTATGTACTACACACAGTAGTAGAAGTATTAGCTACAGCAGTCGAAACTAGTGGAAACAGTCTGAGTAGTTCTTAAAAGTACTTTAAAAGTAAAAGTAAAAGTACTTTAAGAGTAAAGAACTTTAACTTTAATAAATGTTATTGTCAGTACTAAAATGTGCTACTGCTTGCAAAATTGCTTTAAATAGAGCGATTTGGAAAGTGTCTACAATTCCCATGAGGTTCTTAGAGACAAACACTTTTATTGGACATGGTTAATTGAGTTTGTGAAATGTTAGTGAGCCTAAAGTGATGCCAGTAACATTGTCTATTGAGCAAAAGTCAACAAAATGATACGCCAAAGCAAATTTTCCACTTGGAGTCAATGCACGTCTCTGCAACAAACATTCAAACAGGAGAGATGTGCCAATTTCCAGTGAATAGTGACTCTGGGTGGCACCATTATTCCCTCAATTAGAGCTAACTATACCCATTTCAATCTATTATTTTAAATGCCACTATTAACTGTAACTAATGTCCAGTGGTGTTTTAAAATGTGCAAGCTAATGTAATTCTAAGAGGCCCTAGATTTCCACCAAGGAATTTGTCCAATCCTGCAGTAGAATAGAATGCTTCCACTTCCAGTTTAGTGATTAGTTTAGGGATAAATGCTTTATGTAGCATGTTTTTCCTGGTTTGGGATCTAGTTCTAGAGTCCTATGTACTGCATATATGGTATAGTCTCATTCTAGTCCTAGTCTAGTCTTGGTTAAGATCCTGATTTAATCTTAGTTTAGTCCCAATTTTTATGCAACAACTGTGGAAGTTCTGCTTTGCTGTTGTTGATTCAGCTCTGCTGTGGACGGCTGCACACATCTGAAAATTCATGCATGTGAATACCAGTCATACACTAAAGGATTTCTGAGAGCTACTAACTACTTAGACAGATTTACATAATTAAATACTCCTTTTGCAATTTTGAAATAGGAGAATTAAGCTTTATTGCAATACTTGTTCTTAATTCTTTATGGACATTTCAAATTTTCATCAACCAATAATGGACGTACTCAGCTAAAATAATAACCATACTATTTAAATTTATTCTGTGTTGTCTATTTACAGGTAGAAACAAAGCACCTGCACCCCCTCCAGCTGATCCAGGGAGCACCACCATGTTCCCCTCTCGTCATAAAGGTAACCACAAAAATCCATGTAGACAAGCCCTATCTGGTATATCTCCCAGTACTTTCTCTGATCAGTGTAATCATCATCTGATTGATGTTTCAGAGCCTACAGCACAGGGTCACCTAGCGACAGCCCTGATCATCGCCATGTCGACCATCTTCATCATGGCTATTGCCATCGTCCTCATCATCATGTTCTACATCCTGAAGGCCAAACCCAATGGGCATGGTAAGCAGCAGTGCACTTTGTTTTACTACAACTTGATTGTCTCTATATAATGTTATCAAAAGTGGATTGTTACTATATTAGATTACACAGCTTTGGCTCTGTCTCAAAAACGAAATGTTGTATGGCCTTAATTACATGTTACATCCATCCACCATAATATTTAATAATGAAGTATATTATTACATTTTTGAAAACTGCCTGTGACACTGAGATGACTGCAGTTTAATAGCACAATTATTTTTAACAAGCAAAGCCAGACTATCAAAATGAATAAATTAATAAATTAATAAATGGATGAATTAAAAAAAATAAAAAATAGTTTAGGTGGGTCTTTGCAATTAAGTTACCACTATTGAGATATTGTACTAGATTTTTTACTGCCTTGTGATGTGAAAAGCATTTGCATTTGTACAACATGCAAACTGGACATCCTGATCATTCACCAATGATCCAATTAGTTTATAAGCTCTAATCGCAACTCTCAGAGACCCTAGCAGAGTTTTGCCACTAACTCTACTAGCTCGCTACAGCACATTTCCTGATGATTAAACACTTTGCAGTTAGATGCAGACAGGACCCAGCGGACATATTTTGACCTCAAGACCTGCTTGTACATGGGGAAAAATGTGTACAGGGCCTTTAATGACCCTCCTTAGTAGTAGGGTAGACAGAGTAAAAAGAGAGCGGAACATGGAGGTGCTCCCTAGATCAGCCATTACATCATTAGCACTGAATCACTAAGAGCAATTAACACTCACCAGGACGTTAGCTTGTATGTCTTCAGGTGATGGTAGAGAACCTGCAGACTCAGCTCCAGCCTACAGCGCCAATTATGTTAACCCTATTAATGTTACCTCCATTATGTCTGTCCCTAGCATGTTGCTCCGGACAAGTGGTGAAGACCGTGGAGGCTCAGACAAGCAAACAGGAAGACAAGAAAGACGTCCCCGGTGAGGCACTGTGGATAATGAAGCCTTGTAGTGGTTTAGATCTTTGGCTGCATCCTGTTTTTGTCATTTAGACACTTTTACATTGCATTACACTTACTGCTAAACTCCATAATCACCTATTTCTAACAGTGGAAACAATGGGCGTGTTTACATCCATGTCTCCTAGTTATTAGCCATATCCTGTTTTTACTCTTACTCTACATAATTGAAAATACAAAGCATATTTTACTCTACAGAAGTGGTTAGTGGCGACATTAATTGTGCATTGTTTGATTGGTGAATAAAGAAATGTATTTGTAATGACTAACGTGATAATGCAATGTGCATAAACAATACAGACATTGACAAAGCTAATGATTGGGGAAATGGTACATAAAACAAAGACAAATGAGTAAACATTCATTATCCACATTCTCGCTGTGCAAACCATATGGACTTTCTTCCCCTAGCACATGTTTAGCTATTTGTTTTACAATATTGTACTTATTGCTTCCAGATACTCAGGAAGGAAACGGAAAATGTAATAGATGTAGACAAAAACATACTAGTTACATAACATTTATTCATTCATTATTTTACAAAACTCAACCAGCAACTGCGGGCCTTAGGTAAGCTACATTCTGAGATAGAAGCATTCACACTGGTCCTGGTTTGAGCCCACTTTAGTCTTGATATAGACTTGGTTTGGTCCTGCTCTAGTCCTGGTTTAGTCCTGGTCTTAGTCCTTTGTGTTTTCAAATATGAATGTACCCATAGAATACTGTGACCTTTAGTTACTATGGGAGAAAGTGGTGTTGTTTTGATACCTCATTTATAATAGCAGCATATTTTTTACATAATAACATGCAATGTAGTTTTCAACACCAAATATTATTTGCTTCTTATTAGCTTCTTATCTTAATTATTAGTCTAATCCAGGATTAGTGACAATTATGTGGTCTGTGTGCAAGTGTGAACGCACCCTTATTACCTTTGATACAAATCAAGACTATCCTAAACTTGTTCCAACTTTTTCTATTTATGTATGTTTTTTTTAGTATTGATGCCTGTTCAAACAAGTATCTAGTTTCAATACTAGTTTTAGTATCTATTATTATCTAGGCATCATGTTTTTAACAGTCCATCTAATGTTTTTACAACCAAATCCAATTCTTCACGCATTTATGCTTTGTCTAGTTCAATCCATTATTGTGAATGAGCTGACAGACCTATATGAACACCTCTGGGTGGTATGTCCATGCACATCATACAATGCTTTAGGCGCCATTTCCTTTCACAAAGATGCTCTGTTCAATTTCAAATCCAGACGCTCTGACTAACTGCTCCCATGTGGCGGAGACCGAAAACCCCACACGTTCACACACGTACCTCAGCTGAATCTGCGGTCAGGAACACATTATATAGTACAATTAGGTCGTTGACTTAACAATATAATATGATAAAGTTAGGGCATGACTAAAGCAATAAATATCTGGGTCTAGCCTTAAAAGTGTGTATGAATAAGTGGTATGTGTGGAGGTGGGTAGGAGCCCTTGCTCGGAGCAGTACTGGAGTTACTTGTCACTCATGTAGACAGCAGCTTAATATGGCTTTAAGATGAAAGACGCACTGGCTGAAGTTTAAACACACACACACACACAAGACCTGCACATTAAATTTGTTCCACTCAGGGATTCAGTCATTATGCTGTCTACCACCATCAGTGTGTATGATGTAAGGGCAAATACGCTATAACCATTTAATATGTCATTTATCTTGCTATATTCTCTAATGAAGTCATAAAGCTGCAATGGGGAATAAATCAGTGTATTCTCTGGGCAACGCTTGATAAATAGAATAGGTGAATGAGGCCCACTCAAACATGAAGAAGTTTGAGGGGGTCATTATATTTTAACAGATGTTTGATAAAACTTCTAAAAGTTATTTTCTGTTATTTACAACCTTGATGGCTTCTGCATAGTATAACTATTTGTCAGTCTGTTGCATAATTTCAGTTAATTCATACTATTAGGAAGTACTATTATTGTTGAAACTGTGCTGAAAACAAACCTTTATTTTAATTTACCTACTTTATAATATATCTTACTAATGCAGCTTGTAGACTATAAATGTCAACGACTTTGTTGTTTATGTGTATCCTCTCGTTTACAGATAACGTTGTGATCTATGCAGAGAAGGATGAATTTGACAAATTGAAAGCCCCTCCCCAAAAGACCGTAAAAAGGTAAGCAAACATTGATGAATAATGAAGCAAAACACTACTGGGGGGTACTCTTGAACAAATAACTTATTCTTGGATATAGTTCAAAAATTAAATGTCTGCAAAAAAAATGTGGAGCACCTCCCCCTGCTTGTCTCCATGGAAATGTTTTTCCTATGGCTATAATATTTCACAATATGGCATCAAATGCATTTATCTTCATTGAGAATGATGCGAAGTATGGTTTTAACTATTTATTTCCATTGAATCATGTGGGTGACGTACCACCTTCAGAAAGCTAGATGATGTTGCTTTAATTTTGAATTACATAGGAAAGATATCTTAGAGAAATACACCATAGAATTGTATATACAGTGTAAACATACAGTTGAAAACATATTGGTCATCTCTATTTGTTGCTTATACACTAGCTAATATACTTCCCACAGACTCTGTTGCACATGTGCCTTGGTCTTTAAACGCTCATAATGACCATATAGAGTCCATGTTTACATTTGCACCCGGCGTCTCTCTGACTCCCACACAAGAGAAAACAGGGATTTTATCATTTGTTTCAGCATCTGCCCACAATTAGGCCACCACACAACAAGTCACTGCAGCTCTGTCTCTGGAAATATCGTACATGTATGTGTATGGAAAAAGCTATTTATTTTTAATGAAGCAGAGAACCATTATGTGGCTTGGATGGAGGAGATAGGAGGTTGGTGAGGGTGGTTGAAGGTGGTGTAGACATTCCCCAGATCGTGACAGGCAGTGTTGTGTAGCGCATAGGGGTATTTACTCCAAGCTCCACTTAGAATATACAGTACAGGGCGAAAGAGCGGGACAGGTTTGAATGGGTATGTGTAGTAAAAGGTGTGTTGTTGATGTATTAAAATATTCAAAATAAAAAATAGCGTAGCCCTCTGCTAAGACAGTGATCCTATCTTACAGTGCCTTTACAGTAAATAGTGCCCCCATCTGGACTCAAATACAAAAAAGCTTCCATTCATTTTCAAAGCTATTATTATGTTTCACAATTGCATAGAACACATTTTTATTTGGTTGGTTAATGGTTAGTGAACTAGATTCTTTCCCAAATATATGATCTTTATCCACTGACCTATACTAAACATTTGTGAGAATCTTGAATAAGAACAAAGAAAATATAATAGAATTTCAAACTTCCAAGAATGTTACAAGTTGAGAGCAGACACTTGTTCCCATGGACAATGATGCGTTTATTGACCATAGACAGTTGCTGTTATAGGGAAGTAGAGGAGACCTGCTTAGCCTCTGTCTCTGCCAGTGTCTCTGAGAGTGTATTATTAGAGTAGATGAGACCCACACGGCAACAGCGGCTGTAAACAGTGTGGTACAGCAGCATGCCAAAAGATGTGCTAACTCGCACTGTTAGCTGCCAGAGCAGGTATTCGATGTCTCAAAAACAATGCTATTTTTGTGCATTTACTGAAAAAGGGTGTCAAGAAAACAATGGTATTCTGTGAGGAGCTCTGTCGCCAAGGTGATTTTGAGAGAAACAGGACACAAACACAGATAGTGGACCATACATAAATAACATTATCTAGTATCATAATGGGCAATGAGGGGCTAGTTCTATCATTTATGGGAATACATTTAAAATACAATAACAATGGAAGTATAAATATTTTTTTAAGTGTGCATATTAATATAAAAATAACTGGGGGAAAATGAATTAACAATATTTCAGGTAGCAATATCGCAAAAAATAAACTATATTTATTTCATTTTTTTACCTCATATTAATGGATAAAATGTTTTTGTTAAAGTGGCATTCATCATGTTGATTTGAATAACAGTTTATCAATTGCTCAGCCCTATAAATATGTCACACTTACTAATACACAGTAAAAACATTGGGACATACACATTATACATATACATAAAGAAGAATGGTGTCAGAAAGGGTGTCAGTTGTGATACGTTTATTAACCAGGTTATATACATAGAATTGTAGACTTTATCATTTGCATAAGTAACCTGAAATGATCTCTTTGTGTGTTTTTGCCCAGTGAAAATGACGCCTCTTCTGAAAACGAGCAGCTCTTGGGTCGCAGCATTGACAGTGATGAGGAGGCGGCTTTGGACAAACAGGGTTCAGCAGACTCCAATAACCTCACCACCAACCTGTGCCTGGTGAATGTGGGCAACAAGCCGGACCTATGCCTCCTGTCTCTGGGTCTCCTGGAGCATGAGCGTGTGTGTAACGGGACCACCAGTCCCGTCAGCTCTGTCCCCAGTCCCAACCACTTGAGTAACCACAACCACATCAGCAGCATGAACGCCCTCAACAACAATAACAAAACGCCAGGGGTAGGGAGAAGATATGAGAAACCTATGTGTTGTTATATAGTTCATAGTAATCCTATATTAATCAGTGTCTTTTACAGATGCTGCAGAGTCGAAGAAAAAAGATTCTGGACCTGTATGCCAGAGCCTGCAGTATGACAGAAGGTAAGATATATTGTATTTGACCAATTCAATCTGATTCAGTCTTATTTATCTAGTCACAAGCCAGCATAATCTATAGCTATATAACAGAAATTGGGAATAGCATCTGGTGTACACATTGTACTGAAGTAAACATATTTAATCAAGTAATTAAGTTAAGTTATATAATTGCCGATTCAGTAATGACAAAGGCTTAATGGAAGAGCCTTTACCCTCTATTGGTTGGCGGATAGATTCCTACTCTCACCAATGCATAGTACTGTTGTGTTCTTGGGCAAGACACTTCAGATGTCTCCCTTGCCTCATGTATCACCACTATTGATGAATGGATGTGCGAGTATGTCTAATTTACTTGGTTCCTCAATGTAAGTCCCAGTGAAGATATGAAAGCACAACATAAATAAACCTTGACCATTTCTTTTCCCCTCTCCAGGCCTGAGTCCCACTGAGCTTCCCTTCGACTGTCTGGAGAAGGCGAGTCGCATGCTGAGCTCCTCTTACAGCAGTGAGGCGGCTGTTGTAAAGACGTGGAGGCATTTGGCTGAGAGTTTTGGCTTGAAGCGGGATGAGATCGGGGGAATGAGCGATGGGCTGCAGCTGTTTGAACGTGTAAGCACCGCAGGCTACAGCATCCCTGACCTGCTCACCCGCCTGGTGCAGATAGAGAGGCTGGATGCAGTGGAGTCCCTGTGTGCAGATGTGTTGTGCAGCTCCGAACTAACTCTAACGACAAACGCTAATGGGAGGAGCTTTCACAGTCAGCTGGTGTGCACCTCCCCCTGCTCCTCACCCTCTCAGCGCTGTGCCAGTGTCTAAGTTTATGGGACAGTCCAAAAGAGACTGATCAGACTGCATAAACTGTAAAGACTATAAGCATAGAGACTGAGCTAACAGCATGTGACTATCAAGTACATGAAGAATATCATAGAACAATCATACAACCATTACTGCAATACTGGAATTTTACCTTCACAAGTGAAGTAGACAACATGAGAGATTACTCTAACTTGACCAAAGACCTTATAATAAGCTCAATCAAGTATTTTTATTGTGGAAAACCATTTATAGAAATCCATAGTTTTTTATGCACATTTGTGATGATAAAAATGATTTAGTATTTGATAACATTTTATGTGCTGGTCACAAAGCAATAGCACAAAATAGAAGATATCATGAGAAAAGTATCAAGTAGAAAAGAGGGCCCCATTTTGCATCACAATGAATCCATTACTAGATGTTTGTGCAAAACTGAACATTCAGACACAGGGGAGATTGAGCTATCTTCTTAAAATGCAATCATGACACCAGCTGGAAATGCTTAAATATTCTGCATCTCGTAATATCATGCAAATTTAGACTAAAAGCCACAAAACCTGGTCAACCAAGACTAACCTTTTCTATTAATACACTGCTAATACTTCCTGTGTCCTGACCCTATAATCTATGTCTATGCCCCCCTCCCCTGGTTCCTTCCTCTACCCTCTTTTACCAAAATCACTGCGGTCTAGTCCCTGCCGCCAGTCCTAATTATTTGGCGTGTGGCTGCCCTGGGCTCCTAATAGGCTGAAGTGTTGTGGTTTACAGAGCTGGTGCAAAGTGCCTGTGATTTCCAGCACCCAATTAAGCATTTAGGACCACTTACCCACCAAAAGCCCAGTGGAAACACTATAAAAACAGGCTTTAAAAGATATGAGAGAGGGGAGGCATGAGAGACTGCCTGGGGTGGCTGCTACGTGAATACAACTAGGCAAACATAATTCTACAATCATATAAAGCAGTGAACCAAAGCGCTAGGGTGATGTGTATCAAGATCTGTTAAAGGTCTTTTAAGTTGTTAAAGCAATTTATATTTTTCTATTATTGTTAAGAAATTTTCTAGAGTGTGAACAGATTATTATGGAATGGACTAAAATCAAAGTTGTGTATGTGTGCGTATTCTGTACCGATTTAAAGTTAGGCATGGGACTATATTGAAATTTGGTGCCACAATTATCATAGCCAAAATAATTGTGACTAAGGTTTATATCACGCTAATTAAACTGTTATGGATATGTATAATTATAGTTTTAATATTATGAAAAGGTCCCAAATTCAAACTATAATATTGTACTTTGTTACAAGTGAAAACAACAGTGATCTACAATAGAACATCAGGGATAAGTAGCTTTTTTCTGCACACTCTGGTGATATAATGGTGAATATATAAAAAAAACAATTAATGTCTATCCTTTTTATCACGGTAAATGATGTTATTGTTTATTGTCTCATCAATGTTTGAGATATGGACTATTACAGGAGTCAAGGAGGTAACATAAAATGTTATTTGGTAAAACAGAGTTGTAATTTCATTAAAAGGCATGTAAAGAACAGATACCAAAGAATTCTAAATGATTTACACAAAAAGGAAAGGAACTTAGAAAAAAAGCTTAAATTTTTCCAGAAAATGAATTAGAGTCACTCTGAAAAACACAAAGCTCGATCAGGCCCAAAATACTAATGGTTATGGGCAGAAATATTTGCTACTTACTTATTGTTCCATATGGATGATCAAGAAGAAAAAGAAAGATCAAAAGCACAATGTGAAAAAGGTTTACTAAAAACTCTATCAACAATATTCCAGTCATGTGGCCAAGAAGTTTAGTGTACAAAATAAACATTACTGTGGTCAGCTGTGTCATGCCCCCCTATGGGACTAATACGCCAAATAAGAAAAATATGCAGTTGCTAAGGTTCTGTTCCTTCAGGAAGCATTAGGAGCGTATGGGGACTGATAAGCATTAGTTTGAACATAAAGAAAGGCCTATATTCAAGGTTTATTGTGGTTTCCAACTTTAACTCAAAATGCCAGGGACTCTTTTGATCTCAGTGCTTTTGAATTGAGCTGATCTATATCTGATGCCTGGTGTTGTCAACATAATGTCCCTTGACTGCTCTGCTGAAAATCAAACAACCCGCCTGCTGCCAAGTTCTAATGTTTTCTGGGGCAGGACTCCAGTATTTCAACGAATAATATGCATTGCTTATACAGCATGGATGTTTTTTCTAAGATCTTTGTCAAAGCAAATTAAACACTCACCTTTTAAAACGAAAACGGTGTGGTCTTCGCTCGGACCAACTCAAAACAGGTCCAACATGTTTTCCGACTTTGTTTTATTATGCTTTTTGTAAATAATGTGATTTGTGGATTGAATTTGAAAATGGACAACAGCCCTGTTTTGAGACAGGTCAAATCCTGTCTGGCATTAATATGTGTATGATGTACAGAAGCCAATGTAGAATAACTTACCTCAGTCACTCATTCATTAGCAGGACATGTAGAGACACATTCAAACTCATCACGCCACCAAAGTGTAACTGTATATATAACTTATTATTGTACATATTGTATACTATAATAAAGATGTATGCCAAAACATGTTTCAGTGTTGTTAGTATTTGAGTTGTGTCTAAACATTGGGATTGCACTGTACCGTAGACTGTTTCATTTTTGAGTGATGGTGGTGGTCGGAGGGGATGATGGCACAATTTGACAGCCTCACAGCAGTTACAGGGAGATGGGTGACATTTTTCCAATGTAAAGTCAACTGGTAACAGTGAATGGAGCAGGAAGCGCCCCCATGAACACTTCTTGTTTGGAACGTAGCGGTTAGTGGGTTAGCTCTGTCCATTTGTATACACAGTCTACATACTGTACTGACTGTGTGACTGAATGATAGGTTATGATATCTGTGCAGTCCTTTAGTCGTACAAGCAATGAGAAGGTACTCTGTGTAACTGTTCTGGTGTGGGTTCTGCCTTTTGCTTGTCCCTTTTGCTTGTTTACATTGAAAACAGTTATTCGGGTTTACCTCTACACAGATCTGACCTGTAAAAGTTACATTACAAAAGTGTACCTTTAAAGCAGCCATAAAGATCAATACTCCAACCTGGCTGCTCTTTAGATTTTGCAAGATCTTTAGGCAATAAGTTAGGGATTTGGACTAATAAGTGGCTTGTTACAGTCAAAGATTTTTTCTGTTTATTAGTCAATCAGTTAGTGTATGTATGTTACTAAGGGTCAGTATTTTTCTACCCTTGAATCAAAAGCTTCTTCAGAACAGAATGTCAAATGACAGTCTAGCAATGTCTAATATGTTTGCAGAATTGCATGTAGGCCTACCCAACATGTCACTTTTTACTACTGGACAGTGATAGATAGCCTTAAAAATAATAGATTTTTCCTGGGCGTGTGGGAACCCAGAAATCTAATTTGGCCTTTTCTCCGAGTGTCATTTCAACAATCATTAAATCTTCCGTAACAAGCTCCATATGAATAATGTATGACTACGAACGTGTGCTCAGCTCTCTGCCAAAGAAAACACTCGTGCCATAGCTCAACATGGTTCAACCTGTTATCTGCATTATTCAAAATTAATGTGATTTTAATTTGAGGTGGTGTAATCCCTCATTTGTTCAAAAGTGGTCCAGTGTAGAGATCATTTCAACATCATCTGGAACACTGTTAGAGTTCAATTTGATTTATAGTATATAAATTAAACACTATACTTTGTACCAGTCCCAAGCTATATGTTACAAACACTACAATGCCCTGAGATCAGCCGACCAGCTCCTGTTGGTCGTGCCCAAAACTCGTCTCAAGACAAGAGGTGACAGAGCTTTTTCTGTGGCAGCGCCCAGACTATGGAATTGCCTTCCTCTTGCTGTCAGATCCTCTCAGTCTGTAACGCAGTTTAAGACAAGACTGAAAACTCACCTCTTCTCCCTGGCATTTAGTACGAGCTAGTCAGGTTATCTTGGTAGTTTTAACATGTTTTCTGTATATTTGTATATGTAACTGTTTCTTCTATGCTGTTGCTGTTGACTTGTATGTGAAGCACTTTGGTCAACTGAAGTTGTTTTAAATGTGCTATATAAATAAATTTGAATTGAATTGAATTGAATTGAAATAGTCCATATGTTAATGGAAAGACCTTGTTAATAGTAGATGATCACCAATCACCAATCATCAGAATTTTTGCTCTGCGGATACTGAACACAGTCCATATCACAGGGACTTTGACAGTGATGCAAACTATTTTATTATTTAAAAAAAAAAAGGCTTAATGATATTAAGCTTGATCAAAAGCTAACTATACAGTACAATGGAATTTTGCTGGAAATTTAAGTCAGTAATGTGCTTCTAGCTACCTATTTATGGGTGATCAGTACGTTTGATTGGCCAATTTTGTCCATTTGTTTAAGCACTAAGAATCACATACCATTGTAAAAGGCGCCTATTGGTACTTTAAAGTGACATCATGCTGGGGGTGTTATACATGTGTCTCTATTGGCAAAATGTTAGTTACCATGTTAACACAATGAACACATTAGCAACCACAGACAAAAAAACAAAAAAAGTTTTGAGATTGTCTGAAAATTCAAGAAAAAAATACAAATTTGATTTAAACAATACAACTGTTATAGTCCCAATCAAGTTAGGTTTTTCTAGTCTGATTGTGTTAAAATAAAACTCAGATTAAACTAACTTGAGTAACAGAGCTTCAGACAGAGTAATACCTGCAGTTAGCATCACACCCCTAAGGAATGTTGATGACACCAGCTGCAAAGTATCAATAGCTGCTGGGACAGGTCCACTCAACCTGAGTAATAAACGAATAAATGAATAAATGAATACAAATCATTCTTTGATCTCTGATTTTAACCAGTGGTATTGCCAATGAACTAAGCTGAACTGTATTAATTCACAAATGCTCCAGACAGAGTGATCTATGACTATACAGGCTACGCTGCTCCATCACATTCTGTTAACAGGGTCTAATGGCTTATAGAAATTGCTGCTGCCAACATTTCCTAGTTCATTCAAAAATCTAATATTTAATTAAAGCCCATTAACGCTGACATATTAACTCAGTGCTTGGTTTAATGAGAGATGGTTTCACTGGAAAAACACCTCAGGCCAAACCAGACCATTACAGCATTATGTCATTACCTCATAGTCTTTTATCTTGTTTGCCAACTTGCTACTGCCAGTATCTTCAGTTAACTCATGTATTTTAAGGATTATTTGTTTGACGACCTCAAATGACACTGAAATATAACCCGTGGATTAGCAAAAGAAGCAAGCTCGCCAAACAATTGTATCAACCTAAAAAAAAATCTTTATTTAGATATTAAAATGGCACCAACGGGCATATGTTCTCCATGTGGCCATATAACAGCCCCATAATGAATTCGTGTTTCAGAGACAGTTGTGTAGCAGCGCCTTGCAGTGGGAAGTTTCCAGGTTTGAATCCCAGACTCAGTGGAGGTGGATGCTCTTTCTGAGTCTGTGGTTTTGTTCTTAGCACTCCAGTTTCCTCCATCAAGTTAATGACTGGAAATAGACCACTGCCCCTGACTGGTTTCCCCTAAAGAACAATTAAGTAGACCCTAAAAGGCATGATGCATTATTCAAAGATTTTTAAATTTTCACTTTTGCATTTGCAGTTTTTGTTGGTGTATTAAGTCTAATGTCTGTGCACTTAAAACTAAAGTGCTATTAGCAATCCATGCTTTAAGTGTGCTAAAATTGTTCCCTTTCTGAAGGACACTTCATGATATCAGCTGGTGGAATACAGTGTTTTAAGCTCTTGAAAAGCAGAGTGAGTAAATATCTCCAGGATTAGTCAAAAATGCACGAATGGCACAAAACACAGCTCTATGTTTTTGAAGCGGGTTACATAATGAAAATATGGACCTTTTTATCTAGCTCTTAACAGACCACTCTCCAGGGTCAGGCTCAACCATCTTGAAGACATATGAATATCAATAACAACATAGCGGGGCAAATCTATTCCTTTTTAAAATTGTACTTTGTCCTATATAATAAAAATAAAAAATGTATTTTAATAGCCTATAACACTAACAGTACATTCTTTCATTTAATTGACAGAATTTGACAGATGTGATAGAAAAAATACTCAAAATTCTTTCTCCAAAGTCTGCAGTTGGTCAGTAAAGCATGTGTTTTGGAGCAGAGGATTGTCTGAAGACCTCGAGTATCATTATCATATCACTGATGATTAGAATTGATGAACGATAATGTTAAACATGTTTGATTTCTTTTTGCTTTGTACATGACCTCACAGAAGATGGCAGCTGCCTTTGTGCGATTGTGTCAGGTTTTCCAAGA